TGACTCTCTGGAAGAGGCTGCTACTAAGAACTGCCTGAAACTCCCACTTCCTCTGTGACTGCAGGTTTCCAACCACAGCAGAGGGGCACGTAGCACATGACCCAGCAGCCAGAGCACCATCCCAGCCATGGTCTTTGAGGTAAGTGCTGCTGCCCAGCCAGGCCAGGACAGAGCTCAAAGTGGAGAACCCTGGGCACTGGGGGAATGCCGGGGCTGGCCCACAGCCCAGGGTCACCACAGGGTTGGGTGAGTAGCTGGAGGCTGCATGGGTTGTGGTAGAAACAGCACTAGATGGGGAATTGGGAACCCAGCTTGGCCACTGACCCTGGGTGTCTCTCCTCTCCTCTCTGGCTTTTGTGTCTCACCTGCAAAATGGGGGTGGGGGACGGGTAGACTCTAAGGCTCCGTTCAGCCAATTTGGAACTTTGACTCTTGCATGCTGGATTGAATTGGCACTGGGGAGGGCTGCAGGTCTGTAGTGCTGGGGGTGAGAGGGTAAAGAAGATTCTTTTCGAGCTCAGTAGGGGATCCCCTCATGGGCAACTAAATGGCTGTGCAAGCCTCAATGTAGGGAAGGGGAAAGACGGTGCCAACTGCATGCATTTGGGGGGCGTGGTGACTTATAGAGAGGCCACACGGGGGGGCAGGAAGTTGGGGTCCCCAGAGAAGAACCGAAGAGGGAAGAGGAGGGTCAATAACTGGGAAAGGGGACTGTGGAGAGGCACTGGGGAGGAAGGGAGGAAGGTGGTTGAACTAGGTGGCGGGGTGGGGCACTGAGGACGCAAGGCAAGCCGTGAAGGGAGAGCAAGGAGAGCGAGGACAGCAGGCGGAGAAGGCTCTGGGCAGCTTAGGGACATTCTTCCTCCTGCCCAGGGATTCCTGGGCTGATGGGATCACGCAGAAGAGTGAGAGAGAAGCAGCCTTTGAGAAGGGAAGTCACCATCCCAGAGCCCAGGCTGAGCGGACGGAGTTGAGGAGGTCTGGCCCTGGAAGATGGGCGGGGACAGTTACGGGGCCTGCCTTCAGGAGGAGCTGCTCAGAGTAAATCACAGAGGAAGACAGACTCAATTATAAAGGAGTTCCTGCCAGGCCTTTACACAGCCCCTTCCTCCCTGTTCCCTTCCTCCCAGGTGAGTGACCGCCAAGTGCTAAGTGAGGCTGAGGTGGCCGCCCTCCTGAACTTCAGCTCTTCCTATGACTATGGAGAAAACGAGAGTGACTTGTGCTGTACCTCCCCGCCCTGCCCGCAGGACTTCAGCCTGAACTTCGACCGGGCCTTCCTGCCGGCCCTCTACAGCCTCCTCTTTCTTCTGGGGCTCCTGGGCAACGGCGCGGTGGCAGCCGTGCTGTTGAGCCAGCGGGCAGCCCTGAGCAGCACCGACACCTTCCTGCTCCACCTGGCCGTGGCGGACATGCTGCTGGTGCTGACACTCCCGCTCTGGGCAGTGGACGCTGCCATCCAGTGGGTCTTTGGCTCTGGCCTCTGCAAAGTGGCAGGTGCCCTCTTCAACATCAACTTCTATGCAGGGGCCCTCCTGCTAGCCTGCATCAGCTTTGACCGCTACCTGAACATAGTGCACGCCACCCAGCTCTACCGCAGGGGGCCCCCGACCCGCGTGACCTTCACCTGCCTGGCAGTCTGGGGGCTCTGCCTGCTCTTCGCCCTCCCAGACTTCATCTTCCTGTCAGCCCACCACGACGAGCGCCTCAACGCCACCCAGTGCCAGTACACCTTCCCGCAGGTGGGCCGCACGGCTCTGCGGGTGCTGCAGCTGGTGGCTGGTTTCCTGCTGCCCCTGCTGGTCATGGCCTACTGCTACGCCCGCATCCTTGCCGTGCTGCTGGTCTCCAGGGGCCAGCGTCGCCTGCGGGCCATGCGGTTGGTGGTGGTGGTCGTGGTGGCCTTTGCCCTCTGCTGGACCCCCTATCACCTGGTGGTGCTGGTGGACATCCTCATGGACCTAGGCACCTTGGCCCGCAACTGTGGCCGAGAAAGCCAGGTAGACGTGGCCAAATCAGTCACTTCAGGCCTGGGCTACATGCACTGCTGCCTCAACCCGCTGCTCTATGCCTTTGTAGGCGTCAAGTTCCGGGAGCGAATGTGGATGCTGCTCTTGCGCCTGGGCTGCCCCAACCAGAGAGGGCTCCAGAGGCAGCCGTCGTCTTCCCGCCGGGATTCATCCTGGTCTGAGACCTCAGAGGCCTCCTACTCGGGCTTGTGAGGCCAGAATCCGGGCTCCCCTTTCACCCACACAGTCTGACTTCCCCGCATTCCAGGCTCCTTCCTCCCTCTCTGCTGGGCCGGCAGGCGCTGGCTCTCCCCATATCCTCACTCCTGGGATTCACTGGCAGCCCCAGCACCACCAGGTCTCCCGGAAAGCCACCCTCCCAGCTCTGAGGACTGCACCATTGCTGCTCCTTAGCTGCCAAGCCCCACCCTGCCGCCCAACGTGGCTGCCCGGAGTCTCACTGCCCTTCTCATTTGGAAACTAAAACTTCACCTTCCCCAAGTGTAGGGAGTACAAGGCGCTGCATGGAGGGCGCTGCCCCACGAAGCCACAGCCCAGGCCTCCAGCTCAGCAGTGACTGTGGCCATGGTCCCCAAGACCTCTAGATTTGCTCTTTTATATTTACATCTAAAATCCTGCTTTAAACTTTTTAATAAACAAGATTGTCAGGACCAGGGCGTGTTCGTGCATCATTACAGCCCCCACCTGGTCTCCAGGAGCACTTCCTGCTTCTCCTTGCCTGGCCCTGGGTCTGTGCCAGCCCATCCTGCCTTCATCAATGTCTGTCTGCACTCTTGTCTCTGCCCTCGTGGGCACTCCTGTTCTACTCACAAGGAAACACCCAAGTACACAGGTGCAGAGTGAGCAGTTAGATAGCTGGCTGGCATAACTGGGGAAGGGGCCATCAGTCATGAACATGAGAGCTCTGCACTCCAGCAGCTCAGGACAGCAGGCAACATATGCATGGAACTAGTGAAACCCAGCAGCCTGGGCCATGGGGCAAATAAGTGGCACAGTGAACCCAGAGCTCAGGGCACTGAAGGTTGGAGCCATTTGGGAAGGCTTCTTAGACTTAAAGGGCAAGTAGTATTTCCGGGCATAAGGGAGGGCAGTAGCAAAGGTGGGAAGGCTGAAAGTAAGGATGAAAGGTAGTTCGGCATCAGGTGACGGTATTGGGGACCAGCTAGAAAGCCCTACTCATTTTTCAGATGAGTGATACAAGCGCTTACTAAGGAAATGGCTGTGGACTTGAAGAAAAGCAAGGCCGGATGACTTGCCAACAGTCATTAGCACACAGCCACCTGGAGGAGGGCTGTGGGGAGCATTATTCCAGGGCTATCGATGAGATTGAAGTGAGGGGAGGAAATAACTGGGGCTTCCCAGAAGGGCAGATGACAGGACTACTCAGTCAAAACAGAAGGTGATGGGCTGGGTTTACTGCACTGTCAGTGCCCCCTACTTAAGTCACTGACGTGCTAGGATCCAATTTCACAAGCCCACTGGGTCCCTGCTGAAACTGCAGATATGGCTACAGATGGGAATAGGGAGGAAGAATCTGAAGAGTTGGCTGCGAAAGCTCGTCCCACCATATAAACACACCAGCCCACTTTGTAGCCACTAGACACTCCAAGCTTTTAGAAAATGAAGAAAGGAAGGGAAATGACAGAACCCACCTTGACTAGAAAAAGTAACAGGATAGTCAAGATGCTTGTAGCCGGCTGAAAACGTGGGCCCCAAGACGTCCACGCACTAATTCCCAGAGCTTGTGACTATGTTACCTTAGATGACAAAAGGGAAATGAGGTTACTAATCAGCTGACTTGAAGAGGCTCCTGGATTATCCAGATGGGCCCAAAGGAATCACAAGCGTCCTTTAAAAGTGAAAGGGGCTGGGAGCAGTGGCTCACACCTGAAATCCCAGCACTTTGGGAGGCCGAGGCAGGTTGATCACTTGAGGTCAGGAGTTGAGACCAGCCTGGCTAAACCCTGTCTCTACTAAAAATACAAAAATTAGCCAAGTGCGGTGGTGCATGCCTGTAATCCCAGCTACTTGGGAGGCTGAGGCAGGAGAATCACTTGAATCCAGGAGGTGGAGTTTGCAGTGAACTGAGATAATACCACTGCACTCCAGCCTGGGCGAGAGTGAGACTCCATCTCATAAAATATATACATATGTGTATGTGTTTGTTTATATATATATATATATACACATATATATAAAGTAAAAGTGAGAGGCAGCAGGGGAGTGAGAGAGGGAGCTGCTGACCAAGGAAGTGTGAGCAGCCTCTAAAAGGCAGAAAAGGCCAGGTGAGGTGGCTCATGCCTGTAATCCTAACACTGGGAAGCTCAGGTGGGTGGATCACTTGAAGTCAAGAGTTTGAGACCACCCTGGCCAATATGGTGACTAGTAGTCAATACTAAAACTACAAAAATTAAGTGGGCATGATGGCAGGTGCCTGTAATACCAGCTACTTGGGAGGCTGAGGCAGGAGAATCACTTGAACCCGGGAGGCAAAGTTTGCAGTGAACCAACATCGCACCACCGCACTCCAGCCTGGGTGACAGAGCAAGACTCTGTCTCAAAAAAAAAAAAAAAAAAAAGAAGAAAATACAAAGCAATGGATTCTCCCCGAGACTTCAGGAAGGTACACAGCCCTGCTGACACCCTGATTTTAGCCCAGTGACACCAGTGATAAGACTATCTGACCCCCAGAACTGTAAATGTGTGTTTTAAGCCACTATGCTTGTAATTTGTTGCAGCACCCATAGAAAACAAACACAATGTGGGTCCCAGTCCACCCCCTGAATCACTCTAAGTAGGGAGGCTGCTAAATTCTTATGGGCAGTCACAGAAGCCAGAGAAACAGGGAGTGCATCGCGCTCCTCTAGACATGTCCTGGAGGGCTTCAGATGTCCGGTGTCTTGGACAAAAGATCAGAGGGTCTGTTCCGGTCTAGGTGCAGGGAGTCAATGAACGGACTTTGCTAACAAGTGAGATGCATACAACTTTTATTTTTTGATTACATGGCTCAGATAGTTTCAATCAACGTCATCAGAAACATTTATGAAACACGTTTGTCTTTCCTGTCTACATAGATGTCACAGTAGCCCTGGTGTTTTAAGTGCTGCCTCTAAGTAATTTGTCCTCTTTCAAGCATTCTCCTCTTTCTCTCAACCTGCCACTCTCAAAACCTCATTTTTCTTGTGCATTTTGTCCTACATGTGAAAACTATGGAGCCAAAGTGTCTTTCCTCTGTCTATGTAGATGTCACAGTAGCTCTGGTGTTTAAGTGTTACCACTAAAACTTGTCCTCATTCCAGCATTCTCCTTTCTCTCCACCTGCCACTCTTGAAAACTCACTTTTCTTTTGCATTTTGTCTTACATGTGAAAACTATGGAGCTGAAAAAAGACCCAAGGTAGATCCCAAAGGCTTCAGATCTTCCCTGTCAAGGGCACAGAGTGGTTAGCAATAGAGCCCCTGGTTAAGATCAATTATCATTAATAACATGAATCTTAAATTCTAATATTACTTACTTAACAGTACCTAAATTCTATAATATTCCTAACTTCACAAAAACAAAGTTTTCTAAAACTTCTTAACAGTAAAAAATGTAGCTCACTTGTCTGTAGGTAGGATGACAGACAACTGCAAAAAACAAAAACATATATAGCTCACATGAATATACCCTCAGATAACCTTAAGAATTCTTTATTGGCCGGGCGTGGTGGCTCACGCCTGTAATCCAAGCACTTTGGAAGCCAAGGTGGGCGGATCACCTGAGGTTGGGAGTTCAAGACCAGCCTGACCAACATGGTAAAACCCCATATTTAAAAAAAAAAAAAAAATTCTTTATCACCTTGAAATTCCTACCAAATGTTTTCATCACATCCCTGTGGCTAATCCCACCCATCTCCTGCAGAATTTTTCTATAATACTTCTGTATATACACAGCAAATGGTCGCACGTGGGGCACAATGTGGGTCCCATCTTTCCAAGTTAACGGCACCATGACCAGAGACGCCTTGAACTTGACATAGATGAAACACCTGGTATCCAATGATTTGGTGTAGCGGCCAATTCTGGGAAGGAAAGGAACAAAACACAACAAAAGAATCAGTCACTGTTCCTTAGCATCAGATCTGAGATGTTGGTCTTGAGCCCAAAGCAAGAATTTTCTCTGGGTTGTCAGAGACCGGGGCACCAAGCTGCAGCAGGGGTCAGGCCGGCTCAAATTACACAAGAGAAAGGAGAAAGAGAACATGGAAAGGAGGGGAGGTTCTCCTCCTCAATTCAGACAGCCGCCTAGTTAAAAATCACTCGAGAGCCACTTGGAGGCCCCAGCAAAACATAACTGGGAAAAGTCTGAGGACAAGAGTCTTAGCTGGTTTTGCACTTAGTACATTCATAATGGACCTTGAAGGTAATCTTATAGCTATGGCAACAGGTGGCCTTGGGCAGCTCCAGGTGCACCCTGTTGGATTTCCTGGCATAATACTTCCACGTGTCACCATAACAATGACGGAAACCATGAGCCAGGAAACAGCATGGCATATTTCATGCATCAAGGTATCCTGGATTTGATCTTTAAAGAATAGAAGGCTGGGCGCAATGGCTCATGCCTGTAATCCCAGCACTTTGGGAGGCTGAGGCGGGTGGATCACCTGAGGTCAGGAGTTCAAGACCAGCCTGACCAAAAAATGTTGAAACCCTGTCTCAAAAAAAAAAAAGAAGAATGGAAAGAAATTGTGAGCACTAAAACCAGTCCCCTTCTTTTTGTTTGAGACAGAGTCTTGTTTTGTCACCCCAGCATAGTGGCGTGAGCTCAGCTCACTGCAACCTCCACCTCCCGAGTTCAAGCAACTCTCCTGCCTCAGCCTCCCGAGTAGCTGAGATTACAGGTGCACACCACCATGCCCAGCTGATTTTTTGTATTTTTTTTTTTTCAATAGAGATGGGGTTTCACCATGTTGGCTAGGCTGGTCCCGAACTCCTGACCTCAAGTGATCCACCCACCTCGGCCTCCCAAAGTGCTGGGATTACAGGCCTGAGCCACTGCGTCCAGCCTCAATCCTCTTCTTATCTGCTACCCAACAATCCCTCGACTTTCAGCCCCATCAGACACAAGGCTATCTTCCAGAAGCACATGCAGGTGGGCATGAGTGTTACCTTCCCAGGATTCTCAAAGTGAAATCTCCACCTACTTCAACCCGATATTGTTTATGGCAAAGAGCCTTCGGTGAGCAGGTCTTTTTGGAGCAGCTCCAACATGCTCATCTTTTTGTGAGGCACTGCCAGAAAAATATCCAGACAAGATCTAGTTTCTGCCTCCAGGAACAGAGGTGGGTGGACAGGGTGGGGAGCAATCACTATGGCCATGAGATTTGCTTAGGGGAAGCTCCATGGAGAAAATGAGACCTCAGGGGCACTTACTAATTGATTGAATTTCCAGTCAGGAAGGTCATTCTGGGTGTGGTAAAACACGACTGTGGCACATTTTTAAAAACATTTGAGAGACTGAGTCTCGCTATATTGCCCAGGCTGGAGTGAAATGGCTATTCACGGGTGCAATCATGGTGTGGGCTTAAGCGAGCCTGTCAACTCAGCGTCTGAAGTAACTGGGACTACAAGTGTGTGCCACCACACCCAGCCTGTGGTATGTTTTGAAGGCCAGTGTGAAGAGAGCCTGTCTGGGCCATGGGCTAGTAGTAGAGTACTGAGAGACAAGATCGGCCAAGGAGAATGGGAGCAGATCACAATGGCCTCAAAACCCTGGTTTCTCAGCAGGAAAGCAATGCAGTAGCATGCGGGAGAACAAACGGAGCAGGGATGAGGGCCTGTCTCTGGATGGAGGCACAGATGGAGAAGAAATGGTGAGCTACTGTGAAGGAAGATTTGGTGACTGGCTAGACAATAGGGAACCTTGAACCTCAGCTCCTGAGACAATGAAGATGCTACTGCTGGCAAAGGGGAAATGCAGAGAAAGGCAGGCCTGGTAGAAAGATGGATGGGCTTGATTCACAGGGATGGTGAGATATCCAGTAATTATGTCCTCTAAGCAACACACAGTATACCTGCCCACCCAAAAATGACAGTTCAAGCTGTAACACAGGCTACCAGCTAGGAGTAATTTCACAGGCACAGTGTCAGAAGGAAAGAGCATAGTGGTGAAACTGCCACAATCCTGCAATCACCTGTAGATAGCTGCATGCCAATCTGGATCTTTGCTGAGATTTTCATGCCAATCTGGATCTCGGCAAAGCACTGCCTGTTTTGGTACGGCATCTCACCAGTGCTGCATGGGCCAGGAGTTTTCAGCATCTTGTTATTCCAGGCAATCCGTCGTTTCTCTTGCAGCTGAGAATGAAAAGCAAACGAAAGGAATCAGAAAAGCAGTTTAGTTTTTTGTCGTTTTTTTTTTCAGACAGAGTTTTTGCTCTTGTTGCCCAGGCTGGAGTGCAATGACACAATCTCAGCTCGCTGCAACCTCCGCCTCCCAGGTTCAAGCGATTCTCCTGCCTCAGCCTCACAAGTAGCCAGGATTACAGGCATGTACCACCACACCAAGCTAATTTTTTGTATTGACGGGGTTTCACCATGTTGGTCAGGCTGGTCTTGAACTCCTGACCTCAGGTGATCCACCTACCTTGGCCTCCCAAAGTGGTAGGATTACAGGCGTGGGCCACTGCACCTGGCCCAGAAAGCAGTTTTAAGCAGACCAGAAAATATGACCTCCAGAATTTTTTACCATCTAATAAAAAGGAAAAGAAACTTTCTCCCCCAGGTTCTTGGCTCAGAGCAAGTTTGAGAAGAAACTTATTCAAAAAGCACACAAATCAAAACATTCCGGGGAGAATAAAAGCCACATCGAAGTCTGGGTAAAGACAACGAAAAGGCAATCAGGACACAAGGGAGACTGCTAGAACACGTGAGTGCAGGACTTGGGCTCTCTTGTCCTTGGGGCAGCTAAGGAGAGAACAACAAGCCTGCTGAGGTGGGTGGGGCTGAACTGAAAATGCAACTCAGAACACTTCAGGTTCCACCCATCTGATGTGACACCACTGTCATCAAGAAAAGCACCAAAAGCTGGGGAATCTTTAGGAATATATGAGAACTTCCCTCCAGAAAGTCTTGTCACCAGAGACAATGAAGTCTGAAAAATCTAATGACCAATAGGTCTCTCTGCCTCCAGATTTTATCCAATCCAGTCCATACCCACAGGTTACTGTCAGGTTAATTTCTTTCAGCAGGTTAATTTCATTCGCTCCCTGATGCACCTCATCCCTATGCAGTGGTGCCTACTGATGTAAATTTAACCTGCTCAAACCAGATTCCCAAGGCCCTCCAGTATCTGGTCCTAAACTGTCAAAAAATAAGAGCTTACTAAGTCCTAGGCCCTGTTCTAACGCACTGTATGTGTATTAACTTATATAAGTGTAACAATAATCCTATGAGTTAATAAGTATCATGTTGTCCCCATTTTACACATGAAGAAACTGAGGCCAAGTAACTTGTTCAAGGTCACACAGCTCTTTTCCATTATCCTTCCACATGAATCCTCTCTTCCTGATTGTCAAGCTTCAACTCTCCTTCTCCCCCATCCTGTTGTTCTCACCACTTACCATCCTTTAAGAACCAGAGTCTCACTTCCTCCAGGCAATGTTACTTCCTGGCTGTTGAGGCTGTCAATGATTTCTCCCTCTGCTGATCTCCTGAGGTAACAGCTGTCTGTCCTACACATTATAACTCATACACATTCTCTACTGCTTTTACCTGTACCAGGGCTCGTCTCCCAACCTCAACTGCCTCTGCTCAAGGGTGGGAAGTATACATGGTTAGCACACCTCGCTGCGCCAAGAGTACTGGTGTATAGCAGGTGCTCAATCAGTGCTCGTTCACTGATCCTACCTTTTTATCACAGTCGGTTGTGTTAAACAGGTCGTAGATTCTCTGAAACAGTTCATCCTTATTTTGCTCTAAATTTTTTCCAGAGTATTTCTTTGACTTTCCAAGGCCATGCAGGAAACTTCCATGGACTTTGCACTTACAAGTCCTGCAAAGGTAAATTCAACTGAGATTTATGAAGCTAAATAGAGAGAAGGAATGCACGCATTAAGTGTCTTGTGAAGAGACCCTGAAAACCTGTCGCTTCCCTCTTCCACCTAGATCCTTAGATGAGGGCATTTCCCAAGCATCCGTCTGTAGCCTTTTCTCTTCACTCTCTGCAACCCTCAGAGGTGTGAATGAAGCACATGGTTTCAACTTCAATGAGACTTATCCCCACATCTGTATCTGTACTCTGGAGCTCTCTCCTGAGACCTAGTTCTGAATTTACCATTGCCCAGTGCAAACTTCCAACTAACAAGAATGTATCTTGTATCTCCAGCTAAAGTGTGTTCAATTATCAAACTTCTGTTACAATTGGCTGAAAAACCTCAAAGCCATTTTAAAATTCCTTTTCTCTCTTTATTTGTGCAATTGGGCACAGAGACAGACTATCTTTCTTCACACTTTCTCTTCCAGCCAGCCCCTCTTTTCCATCCCCCTGGTTCCTACTCTAGTTCAAGTTCTTATCCTACCCTTTATGCCTGGATATGAGAACATTCCAGTGTTCCTTACCCCCAGGCTCTTTCTCCTCTCAATCACACACACCCCTCCCTCCAGATTCATTTTCGCAGGCCATGCTCCAATTAACGTCCCCATCTGGTTTTTCACTGACTGCTTGGCCTCACATTCATGGCCAAGGTCAACCTGGTCCCAAGCTTTACTCCCAGCTACCACTGCCACTCTAGCCAAAGCGGGCAACTTAAATGTTCCCTGGATACAAATTGTGATTTCCCACATTTGTGCCTTGGCACAATCTATTTTCCCACAGCTAACAATGACCACATGTCCACCTCTACCGAGAATAACAATCTGTGTAGCACTTTAAATATGCAAAGAACTTCCTTTTGCATTGTCATATTTAATCCTCACAACCGCCCTTCAAAAAAGCTACTACTATTTTTACGCTCTCCACTGTGCTCAGAGGTCAAGAGACTTGCCCAAAGGTCACAGAGACAGTGAATCTCCTGATCCAAATCTCATGGTATTTGGTTAAACCACAATCGCTGCCCCATCTTTCAAGGCCTAATTCAAAGGGCACAAAGAATAATGCTGAGCACATAAAGGACTCATACTATAATAACTATTATTTAAAAAGAAGCATTTTTATCTTAGCTGGAACAGTCCAGTAAGTCCACAGATGAGCCCAAAGAGCCGGAAAGATAGAACGGGAGCAAACGCAGCAGGTTTCTGACTAAACAGAACTCCTAAAACTGAGATTTTGCCAGAACACTTATTAAACCTTAAATCACAAACTAAACCCTATGTGAGGAAATTGGGCTGCAGAGCAGTTAAGTACCAGACAAGACATAGGTTACGGAAGGGTCTTCATCTCAAGCCTAAAATGGGGGACTTCTGCCTCCAATTACTTAGACCTGAAAGCAAATTTACATCAGTATTTAAGGTGGCAGATGCAAACCTGAACCCTCTGCAGACTTTGGCAGAGCCTGTGACCCATGTGTTTGTGCTCACACAAAGCTGGCCTTTTCGCTTAGCATACTTTTGCCTCAAGGCCTGAGCACCTTCACATCAGAGAAACCAACAAGACCCGAAACTGGGTATATCAGACACCATGACCAGCAAGCAGCCTCCACAAGCACAGTGCCAAGCGTAACAGGAAGCCTCCAGACTGCCACAGGAAGTGCTAAACAACAGTTAAGAGTCCAAAAAGGCTAGCCTCCTTTGCATAATGCAGACTGACGACACAAAGGGGCAGCTTCTCCCTTCTTTTGTCACGCTCTAGCAAAGCAACCTGGGAGCTACCCAAGACACACATCCCTGGAGGCAAAGCGGCTTAAATATGTAGCTAGGAATCCAGAGCAGAAACCTTGCTGAAAGGCTATCCAGCCAAGAGAGCACTTGGAAAGCTGCTACCGGCTGCCTCAGCCAGCACAGAAACAGACAGCCCTTCTGCTCAGGTCCAGGGTGACCTGGTGCCCCTATGGCTGACACATTAGTCCTTTTCCCCTCCCTTAAGATACACTTATTGTCTCCAAATACTACTTAAAAAAATAACATATAGTCTTTCAAGTACATTCCTTGTCTTGTAAGACAATTCAGATGTGAGTATATATTACTTTTCAATGAAAGTAAAAACAAAGAAAATTATGCTTACTGTATCAGATTTTTAAGGAAAAAACTAAGAAATTCCTGGAATCTAAATAAGAAAATATATTAATTTTTTGCCTTAAGTATTAACATGACTTTGGTCTAAATGATCAGTTGTTGTTTCCAGTATCAACTATATATAGCTTAATAAAAATAAAGGAATGACAAGCAATCCATTTCATCCTAACATTTAAGCTTTAAAAGTTCATAAGAATATACACACTAAGAGTAACTGGGTTCAGCCAAAACACTAGAAAAACCTGGAAGACAATCTTGACCACTCTCCCTCCAATTCCAACAGATCAATGTGTTGCTTCCACTTTCTCACCATTTCCACTGCCTTTGCCTTGGTTTAGAGCAAAGTGGTAGCCATGAGGCTGTATCCAGCCTGAAAGAAAGTGTCTTTTTATTTTTTAATTTTTTAATTTTTTTTTTTTTAATTTAAAGACAGGGTTTCACCATGTTGGTCAGGCAGGTCTTGAACTCCCAACCTCAGGTGATCCGCCTGCCTTGGCCTCCAAAGTGCTTGGATTACAGGCGTGAGCTACTACGCCCAGCCAAAAGTGTCTTGTTTGGCTACACATCATTCTTTGATCTGAGTTGAAGGACACGGGCAATCTGAGAGGCCAGAGCTGCTGTCGGGGCAGACAGGCCCCCCTCTATCCGGGTAACTGTAGGCACCTTGGTAGAGAGCCCATGCCTAACCTCAAAGACTGGGGAAAGAAGCAAGGAGGAAGTCAGTGGGTGGTGTTCTCCCTTTCTTGGGCCCTCCCACTCAAGGATAGAAATCTTGAACTCCAACCCCATCCCAGCCACACTCCTTCATCCCCTTGCAGAGCACCCCTACCCAAGTGCCCAGTGTACTACCCAATGTGACAACTGTGCAGTCAATTCCTGTTCAACTGAACATGAGCAGTACATACCTAGTCTTGCGATTTTCAACTTTTGCTGCACCGGGTTTCTTCTTTGAATGCCCACACTTCTTATGTCCTTTATCAGCTGAAAGAAGAATAGTTTACTTATATCCTGAAAATTGGTATCATCCAGAGACTAACAGAAAGGTAAACCCAAAAGGAGCCCTTACAGCCAAGTCCAGTGCAACATCTCTAAACAAAACTGTCTGAAGTGGCGTACTGCCACCTTCATCATTCTCAACCATCTCACCCACATGAATTCACAGTGCTGCCAGCAGCATGAGCTGGGCAGGATTCTGTCACAGGAACCAAGCACTATGAGGGTCCAGGAGTATGCCCTTAGAAGCTAGACAGTGTGGGCAACCGAAGCATGTGCAGTCAAAGAGGTGGTACAGCACAGCTCATGCATTTGCTCTGATGAGTGGCTCATATCCTAGGCAGCACCTTCACCCAGTGTGTAGCAAAGGCCAATTTTTCTGCCTTGGCCTAGGACCCATCCTGCCAGCTGCTCTGGCTAGAGACTTGTGTTATCAATAATCAGTCATTCATACACTTAAAAAACTTATTGAACCCCTATCACGTCCTAAGCACCAGTCCAAATCCTGAGAGAGACTAAAAAATGAGGAAGAGTCCTCTCATGAAGAGGCTCACAGTCTACCAGGGCAGTGCCAAGGTGGGACAGACTCAGAAACATATTCTAACAGTGTGACTAGTGCTTTGGTAGAGATGCGCTCCAGAACTTTGGTAACCCGAGAGAGAGAGGAGCCACTCTGACTTATGGCTTCATAGAGGAAGTGATAATTGGGCTGAGTCGTAAGAAAAGTAAGATATCCTCAGGACATAAGGTTTAGGGAGACAGCACTCCAGGCTGGTGAACAGCAAATACTAAGATACAGGAGCATGAGAAAGATGTGGCCATTCCTCCCCCGTTCCCAGAATCATCGTTTCACCAGGATGAATGCCTCCTGGGGCCACAAGGAAGTTGCTGAAATGGCACAGGGCTGACGAGGAGGACAGGCAGACTAGATAAGACAGGCACATTTGGCAGGCAAGGCACATTCAGTGGGACAGGCATACTTGGAATGACTGGCTTACCAGGTGTCACAGGTACATTTTTGGTTTTTGCCTTCCTCTTCCTCAGTGGCTCCACAATACTTTCAGTTTTTGCCTTCCGTTGCTTTAGTGGCTCCACGATAGTTTCGCTTTTTGCTTTCCTTTTCCCTGACTGTTCCACCCCAGGTGCAGGCTCCACCTCAGTTGGCAGCTTTCTCTTTGAAACCTCCAGGTTAGCCTCAGGATCACTCAGTGGACCGCAGAAATTCTCACCAAGATCCTGCTCACCAGCCTCATCCAGCTCTTCTTCATCTGAGGCAATTTGGCTTTCATCACACAAATCTTCTTCTGCTGGCACAGGAACTTCCAAATCATCACTATTGTTGTCAGGAACTTCCCAATCATTGCTGTCATTGGGAACATCCGAATCATTACTGTCTTCATCGGGAACATCCGAATCGTGACCATCGTCATCGTCAGGAACATCCGAATCATGATCGTCATCGGGAACATCCGAATCATGACTGTCGTCGTCATCGGGAACATCCGAATCATGACTGTCGTCGTCATCGGGAACATCCGAATCATGACTGTCGTCGTCATCGGGAACATCCGAATCATGATTGTCGTCGTCATCGGGAACATCCGAATCATGACTGTCACTTTTGGGAACATCTGAATCATCACTCTTGTCTTTGGGAACTTCTGAATCATCACTCTTGTCTTTGGGAACTTCTGAATCATCACTCTTGTCTTTGGGAATTTCTGAATCATCACTCTTGTCTTTGGGAACTTCTGAATCATCACTCTTGTCTTTGGGAACTTCTGAATCATTACTCTTATTGCTGTGAACTTCAAAATCATTACTCTTCTTGTCGTCATCGTCATCATCATCATCACTAATAACTATTAGGGGTCCCTGGATGGTAGGCTTCACATTATAACGTTCCATATCCTTACCTGAAATTCAAGAGACACAATCATATGTAAATATACTCTCTCCTTCTTTACACATTAAATTTCAGCAGATTACTTCGCACAAATTAAGACAGGAACTGTAACATTTTGAACAGCAGTTAAGAATCAGTTATTTTAAGGCTGGGCACAGTGGCTCATGCCTGTAATCCCAGCACTTTAGGAGGCCGAGGCAGGAGATCACTTGAGGTCAGGAGTTCTAGACCAGCCTGGCCAACATGGCAAACCCCATCTCTATTAAAAATACAAAAAATTAGCCAGGCATGGTGGCACACGCCTGCAATCCTAGCTACTGGGGAACCTGAGGCAGGATAACTTCTTGAGCCCAGGAAGCAGAGGTTGCGTTGAGCCGAGATAATGTCACTGCACTCCAGCCTGGGCGACAGAGTGAGACTCCATCTCAAAAAAAAAAAAAATGAGTTATTTTAAAGGGGACACCAACAAATGGAAAGATTCCATGTTCATGGATTGGAAGAATCAATACTGTAAAAATGTCCATACTACCTAAAGAAACCTACAGATTCAATGAAATCCCTATCAAAATACCATTGACATTCTTCACATAACTAGAAAAAAACCATTCTAAAATTTATATGGAACCATGAAAGATCCAGAATAGCCAAAGTTATCCTGAGCAAAAAGAACAAAACTGGAGGAATCATATAACCTGACTTCAGATTACATTACAGAGCTATAATAACCAAAACAGCATGGTATTGGCATAAAAACAAACACACAGACCAATGGAATAGAATAGAGAATGCAGAAACAAATCCACACACCTACAATGAACTCATTTTAAACAAAGGTGCCAAGAACGTACACTGGGGCAAAGGCAGTCTCTTCAATAAATGGTGCTGGGAAAACTGGATATCCATATCCAAAAGAATGAAACTAGATTCCTATCTCTTGCTACGCAAAAATCAAATCAAAATGGATTAGACTTAAATCTAAGACCTCAAACTATGAAACTACTACAAGAAAACTACAAATACCCCACAAGCAATGGTAACCAAAGCAAAAATGGACAAGTGGGATCACATTAAGTTAAAAAGCTTCTGCACAACAAAGGAAACAATCAACAAAGTGAAGAGACAACCCATAGAATGGGACAAAATAACTGCAAACTAGCCATCTGATAAGGGATTAATAACTAGAGTATATATGGAGGTCAAACAACTCTATAGGAAAAAAATACAATAATCCAATGAAAAATGAGACAAAAGATCTAAACAGACATTTCTCAAAAGAAGTACAAATGGCGTGCCGGGCGCGGTGGCTCAAGCCTGTAATCCCAGCACTTTGGGAGGCCGAGGCGGGTGGATCACGAGGTCAAGAGATCGAGACCATCCTGGTCAACATGGTGAAACCCCGTCTCTACTAAAACTACAAAAAATTAGCTGGGCATGGTGGCGCGTGCCTGTAGTCCCAGCTACTCAGGAGGCTGAGGCAGGAGAATTGCCTGAACCCAGGAGGCGGAGGTTGCGGTGAGCCGAGATCGTGCCATTGCACTCCAGCCTGGGTAACAAGAGCGAAACTCCGTCTCAAAAAAAAAAAAAAAAAAAAGAAGAAGTACAAATGGCACACATGCATATGAAAAGGTGCTCAACATCATTGATCATCAGAGAAATGCAAATCAAAACTACAATTAGTGACCAGGCACGGAGGCTCACACCTGTAATCCCAGCAGTTTGGGAGGCCAAGGCAGGTGGATCACCTGAGGTCAGGAGTTCGAGACCAGCCTGACCAACATGGCAAAAATCCATCTCTACAAAAAATACAAAAATTAGCCAGGTATGGTGGTGCACAACTGTAGTCCAAACTACTTGGGAGGCTGAGGCAAGGATAATCACTTGAACCTGGGAGGTGGAGGTTGCAGTAAGCCGAGATCATGTCCCTGCACTCTAGCCTAGGCGACAGAATGAGACTGTCTCAAACAAAACAAAAAACCAAAAAAGCCAAAAAGGTATCATCTCGCCCCAGTTAAAATGGTTTTTATACAAAAGACAGGCAATAACAAATGTTGGTGAGGATGAGGAGAAAAGGGAACCCTCTTACACTCCTGGTGGGAATGTAGATTAGTACAACCACCCTGGAGAATAGTTTGGTGGTTCCTCAAAAAACTAAAAACAGAGCTACCATACAATTCAGCAAACCCATTGCTGCATACATACTCAAAAGAAAGAAAATCAGTATATCAAAGTGATAGCTGCACTCCCATGTTTGTTGTAGCACTGTTCACAACAGCCAAGATTTGAATCAACCTAAGTATCCATCAATAGAAAAATGCAGGCCAGGTGCAGTGGCTCGTGCCTGTAATCCCAGCATTTTGGGAGGCACATGGATCACTTGAGGCCAGGAGTTTGAGGCCAGCCTGGTCAAAATGGTGAAACCTCGTCTCTACTAAAAATATAAAAATTAGCCGGGCATGGTAGCACATGCCTATAGTCCCAGCTACTCAGGAGGCTGAGGCAGGAGGATTGCTTGAACCCAGGAGGCAGAGGCTGCAGTGAACCAAGATTGTGCCACTACTCTCTAGCCTGGGCAGCAAAGCGAGACTCCGTCGCTTAAAAAAAAAGCAAAAACAAAAACAGATGAATGGATAAAGAAAATGTGGTACATATACACAATGGAGCAATGGAGTACTACTCAACCATAAAAAAGAATGATATCCTGTCATTTGCAACAACCTGGATAGAACCGGAGGTCATTATGTTAAGTGAAATAAGCCAGGAACAGAAAGACAAACTTCGCATGTTCTTATTTATTTGTCGGGTCTAAAAATGAAAACAATTGAACTAAAGGAGATACAGAATAGAAGAATGGTTACCAGAGGTAGATAGTGGAGGGGTGTGGAAAAGTGGGGATGGTTAATGGGTACAAAATAAACAGAAAGAATAAGATCTACTATTTAACAGCATAACAGGATGACTATAAGTCAATAACTCAATTGTACATTTTAAAATAATTAAGAGAGTATAACTGGATTGCTTGTAACACAAAGGATAAATCCTTGAGGGGACAGATACTGCATTCTCCATGATATGACTATTACATATTGCATGCTTGTATCAAAACACCTCATGTATCCCATATAAATATATACATCTACTATCTACTTACAAAAATAAAAAATTATTTTTTAAAAAAGAAATTTTAGATTGTTTTTCCCTCTATTTTTTATTTTACTGAGAGCAGTGACAGATCAAATAGCAACCAAATTCATGCGTCAATTTTCAAATCACAGTCTCTAAGTAGCAAGATTCAGTTGTTGCTCAGGGCTTCCCAAACACAGGCCTGTAGACTTGTATATTTTCACTGGTCCACAGCAAAATAAGATAAAATAGAATAATAAAGTGTTATTTTGCCCCCATCAAGCAAAATTTCTAAAATTTAAAGGACTGTCCTTTATTTTGTGATTATATCTTGGTTAAACTTTTGGTGCTCTTTACAAAATTACAAAAATAGCAAATGGTAGCTGAAGTTTTTTTTTTTTTTTTAATTTCCTTCATTAGACAAATTAAAAATTGACAACTCTGTTGGTCACCAAAATTTCATTCTTTAAATTAGTTCGTAAGTGCAAAGCTCTCAGAGCCACTGATCTAAGAGCCAGGAGAAAGTCCCAATGCCAGCAATCTCTGAGAGGCCTCGGGAACATCTGGGACATCACTGCCTGCACTGAAAGGAAGCCAAGTGTGTCTGATGCCACATGCTCTTTGGAGTCTGTTTGGAGCTCAAGTTCTAGGTTTGTATGATTCTGGATGCAAAAAAAATCTAAAAATCTAAACCATAGCATAGGCAAGATGTGAAAGATATATTTATGGTACAAAAACTCTTTATCCTAAAACTGCAGATTTGAGGTAATATATTTTGAGTCTCATCTGTTATTTGAATTAATTATGAAAAAACTTCAAATACACAGTAAGGGAAGGGAAAAGGAGTGGATGTTCCTATGGTAAAAAGCCCCACCTCCTTCCTAGAAAACTTAAAAGATTTGCCACCTACAGCTGAAATTAAAAATTAGAAAAAGTAGGGACACACTGCTTACAATATATTTTAAAATGACTACATACAGCAACAAAGGTTGGAGTTATGCTTTAGAGTTTACTGGGCCTTGTTTTCTGTAGAACTGTCTAAATAAAATGAAATGCCACATAGAGAACAGTAAAGAAACATACAAAGCCTTTCCTATAGGAGCATCCTTCATCCCTCCATTGCTGGGATGGATGCCCACAGTTACAGTCCACAGGCCAGCAAGGTAAGAGCAGCCTTAGTTGAAAGTTCACGCTCAAAAGAATCTCTCTCTTCTGATTCAAGGAGTCAAGCACCTGGCAGCCTCCAGTTGTGAACTGGTTTCTGGCTCTGTCACCCCTCCCTGCCCTCAAGCTGCCTCCTTGGAGTTCCTTTCACATTTCAACAGCTTGTCAAGTCAGACCCTCTACTCTGTACTCAAACCTCTGTCCTGCTTAAGCATAGCCATCCAGAGCTAGAGAGAGGAAGCAGGGAAAGAAATTCAAAACGATGGGTGATGGAACAATAGGAAACTAGCATTTCAAACCACCTCTCCCTTCCCTGCTCTGATATCCCGGGTTAACTAAGAAGTTCTGGCTAACAATAGCTCTTGGGTAATTATCTAAGAAGTAGCTGGTGCTGGTCAGGCCCAGTGGTTCACACCTGTATCCTAGCACTTTAGGAGGCCAAATCACTTCAGGCCAGGAGTTCAAGACCACCCTGGCCAACATGATGAAACCCCATCTCTACTAAAAAAAAAAAAAAAACACAAAAATTAGCTGGGAACGGTGGCAGGTGCGTGTAATCCCAGCTACTCAGGAGGCTGAGGCAGGAGAAACACTTGAGCCTGGGAGGCGCAGGTTGCGGAGAGCTGAGAACACACCACTGCATTCCAGTCTGGGCAACAGACCAAGACCCTGTCTCCAAAAAAAAAAAAAAAAAAGTAGTTGGTGCTTTACGGGCCTTTCATTTTCAGTGGAGTTTGGCTCACCAAACATTAACTAGGTGTATCATGTATCATGCCCTACACCTGTACTGGGAGAACAAAGGTCAATGAAATACTGTCCCTAGTGCTTAAAGTTTCTAGTCTTCCTGTGTTTCATGCCCACTGAGCAGGTAGGTTTTAAACTGAGTTAAGCTCCAAGCCTCCCAGAAGGTTAAAGGGGCTTCTGAATCCAAACAGGCTCTAAGAAATACAAGAATCTGTAGAAAATACAGAGGGACTGGCAAACAGCAAAGACCAACAACTCAATGGAGAAAATAAGGATTCTTCCCAACACGACACTGCCAGCTGGCCCATAAACCACCACCCTTCAAATTGAAAGGAAAAATGAGCCAGGCCTCTTATTCCTTTCTTCTTCCTCGTCATTCCTACACATAGAAGGGGGAGAGAGGAAGAGGGGACTACAGAGCAGCTTCCATACTTCCCAGCCTCAGTTCTTGACCACCCACCCCCACCCCGCTTCACTGATGTAGCTCTGGACAGGTAAAATCTCTACTGAGGGGGCCACCAAGGTCTCAGGCAGCGAGAACAGTTGCTGCTGCTGGGAAATTAACAAGGGGGTATAGGGAACCCAGCCACATTCACATCCAGCACATATGAGGAAGGAAACGGTGGCACTTGCTGCTGAGGAATTCCAAAGATAAAGTCTGCGGACACTGATCCTGAAACTACCATGTGTGATGAGGCTTTGGGGCTCAGCCACTTCTCTAACAAAGTGATATATACTTGCCGTCATGGTTTGTTTTCAGTATCTTAGCTTTCTTCTCAGAGGGGTAGCATTCGTTATCAGAGTCAGAGTCAATCACTACCACGGAGCTGAGTGATAAGACAGGAGAAAAACAAGAGAGAAGTATGAATGCGACAGTCTTCGTTTCATGGCATTTCCCACCTTTTCTGATCTTGACCATTTGTAAATTTTTTGTTTCCCACAATAACTCTGTTCCCCTCCTTTGGAACTACTCAATCCTTCCATTCTACCTGATTTTCTATCTTTTTCCATCTTTCTACAACATCATTCCATCTGTCTCATATCTTTCTAAGGAGGAGTCTGTCACATACTGAGAGTGAAATGGGCTCTGTCAGATTATATATATTCAGATAGTTTTGGTGCAGGGAAAAATCTGATCAGGGAGTTGTCATTTTTCTTTATCAAATTTTAGGTCCAGTTGTCTGAGAAGGGTAGAGGGCCTCAGATGGAGAGAGGCAGCCTCAGAGTAGGGAGATTCTCTTCAGTGCTACTCTCTACAGCATCAAATCAGGACTACCATCTTGAACTGACAGACTGCTCTGGTAGGTGTCAAATTCAACAGTGCACCTGCACCACCCAGGGTACCAGTGGTGAGAACCCCCTGGGGTCCTCATCCTTGGCTGACCCTGGTATTTGGCTCAGAAGTTCCAGCAGGTTTAAACTGACCACCCTCCTGTCTCCAAATAGTGTATAATAAGTATAATATACTTTCATAATGAAAGAAAAATACTTAATACACTGTTACAGGACATACTGGCACCTGCTACAGACACACATGTTCATCTGTTTCCACTATGTTTACCACTTCTGACATTGCCAAGTTGATAGGCGTTTATTATCCTATTGACTACTCTATCCTTAAAACTCTTTTTGATTTCTGGGAAACAGTTGTCTTTTGGTTCTTGTCTCACCTTTCCATTCACCCGTCTTCCTCGACTCATTCCCAGGACTCATCCACAGCCCTCTCATGACAATACAATCAATTATTAATTACACCAGCCCAATCCATTATATTGAGCCCAACTTTTCTTCTGATTTCTAACTCCAACTTTCTACCTGGATGTCCTGTGGGCAGGGTTGATATGCTGATATATACAAACTGATTTGTTTATTAATAGTATCCGTCCTCACCAGCAGCCAATTCCTGCCTGTGCTCTGTTGGTTGGTAGAAAGTTTTGAATATCAGCCCTGTCTACAGGCTCCTTGATTCTAGCATGACCAAAACCAAACTCATCACCTTCCTCCCATATCTATTCTTCCTATATTATTCCATATATAGACGCCACGTGGGATTGGACCAAAACCTGTGGGCACTCCTTGCAGGCTCCTTAAAATTGAATTTTTAAAACATTTGTTCACCATCTATCTAGCAGAGACTGGAATAAACTTATTCTCTTTTTTTGAGACGGAGTTTTGCTCTTGTTGCCCAGGCTGGAGTGCAATGGCACAATCTCAGCTCACTGCAGCCTCCGCCTCCCAGGTTCAATCAATTCTCCTGCCTCAGCCTCCTGAATAGCTGGGATTATAAGCATGTGCCACCATACCCGGCTAATTTTGTATTTTTAGTACAAACGGGGTTTCTCCATGTTGGTCAGGCTGGTCTCGAACTCCTGACATCAGATGATCCACCCACCTCGGCCTCCCAAAGTGCTCGGATTATAGACGCGAGCCACCACGCCTGGCCAGAAACTATTTTTTCTATTTAAAAATCAGACACATTTCAACTATCTAATAAAGACTTCATTATGTACAATATTATATACCGGAATACTTCTTAGGAGCCATGATAGAACATTTAAAATGAATATAACAGCAATGGAAATACTCTGCATCTTTATAGTAGTGATGGTTACACTACCACATATGGTTGTCAAAATCTATCAAACTATACACCTAAAAAGAGTTAATTTTGCCATATGTAAATCATACCTCAGTAAGCCTGACTTTTGGTCAGGCACGGTGGCTCACACCTGTAATCCCAGCACTTTGGGAGGCCAAGGTGAGTGGATCACCTGAGGTCGGGAGTTCGAGACCAGCCTGACCAACACAGAGAAACCCCATCTCTACTAAAAATGCCAAATCAGCTGAGCATGGTGGTGCATGCCTGTAATCCCAGCTACTCAGGAGGCTGAAGCAGGAGAATCACTTGAACCCAGGAGGTAGAGGATGGAGTCAGCTGAGATCGCGTCATTGCACTCCAGCCTGGGCAACAAGAGTGAAACTTTAACTAAATAAATAAGCCTGACTTTAAAAATACAATTAACAAAACTAATCATCAACAACTAATAGCTTTATACGATGCTTTATTCGGCACTAGAATTTCAACTGACTACAACTGACTTCATTTTTTTTTTTTTTTTGAGAGTCTCATTCACCCAAGCTCAAGTACAATGGCACAATCATGGCTCACTGCAACCTCCACCTACCAGGTTCAAGTGATTCTTTTGCCTCGGTCTCCTGAGTAGCTGGAATTAGAGGCGTATGCCACCACACCCCGCTAATTTTTGTCTTTTTAGTAGAGAAGGGGTTTTGCCATCTTGGCCAGGCTGGTCTCAAACTCCTGACCTCAAGTGATCTGCCCACCTTGGCCTCCCAAAGTGCTGGGATTACAGGCATGAGCCACCACACCAAGACTGCAACTGCTGACTTTAAATGACATTTCACACATTGGTGTCAGGAGTTGGTGTCTTACATGTTGTAAAAATACTCAACAGAGATCAGAGCTAGCCAGAATACAAACTTTCCCAACCTGACAGCACTATTTGGCTTGATGGGGGGAACAAGAATGACCAATTCACATTTGTACAGTAATTCAAGGAAACAATGTGGAAACCATAGTTATCTAGAACCATACTTGGTATTTACTCCAGTAATTTTTTTCAGCAACCCGTATAGTTAGGCACCTGGGCAACAACCCTCCATCTAGCTCTGGCTAGAGCAGAGGATTCATTAATAGGAAGAGTAGCAGACGAGGCTGAAAGATAGGTTATGGCCAGGTCACAGAAGGCGTTAATTATTGTTGGGGTAAACAGCTTGATTTTTCTATTATGAGCTATTTGAATTGGGGACTGACATAACCAAAGCAGTGCCTCAGGAGATTCAGCTGCAAGTGGTACACAGACTGGAGTAAAAGACCAAGGTGAGGACGCCACTTAAAAAGAAGTAAACAGGCCAGGCGCAGTGGCTCACATCTGTAATCTCAGTGCTTTGGGAGGCCAAGGCAGGCAGATAATTGGAGGTTAGGAGTTCAAGACCAGACTGATCAACATATGAAACCCTGTCTCCACTAAAAAGACAAAAATTCGCCAGGCATAGTGGCGTGTACCTGTAACCCCAGCTGCTCGAGAGGGTGAGGCAAGAGAATAACTTGAACTCAGGAGGTGGAGGTTGCAGTGAGCCAAGATTGTACCACTGCATTCCAGCCTAAGTGAGCAAGACTCAGTCTCAAAAAATACTAAACTAAAAATAAAAATAAAAAGGAATAAACACTGATAAGTGCTTAGACTAGCAGAGCCTGGAATATTCACGCACAGTTCACAGAGATACCTTGCAGAAGAAACTGACCACTTAGATAATGGGTCGGGGACAAGGACTCTAATATTTTGAAACTGACTGTGATGAGAAACAGCCATTGTGATCCTGCTGAGAACCAGTGTCCACAGAGGAAATGTGAAGTTTACTCTTTTTTTTTTTTTTTTTTTCCCCGAGACGGAGTTTCGCTCTTGTTACCCAGGCTGGAGTGCAATGGCGCGATCTCGGCTCACCACAACCTCCGCCTCCTGGTTCAGGCAATTCTCCTGCCTCAGCCTCCTGAGTAGCTGGGATTACAGGCACGCACCACCATGCCCAGCTAATTTTTTTTTGTATTTGTAGTAGAGACGGGGTTTCACCATGTTGACCAGGATGGTTTCGATCTCTTGACCTCGTGATCCACCCGCCTCGGCCTCCCAAAGTGCTGGGATTACAGGCTTGAGCCACCGCGCCCGGCTGAAGTTTACTCTTAAATTTCCTTACCCAGAGCATTGGGTTTTCCCCCCTTTAAAAAAAAAACAAAGTCAAGTTTCATTAATTCTTCTACTCACGTGGCCTGTCTCTTCGGAGCTGCTCTGACCACAGCTAAATCAGACAAAGAAGGCATTAGAAAACATCTGACGCACGATAAAATCTGGTTGCCTACGTCTTTAACTCCCTAAAACCAAAGTCTGTAAATCAGAACCGATTAAAATTTACATCTCCCATGAAAGGAAATAAAAGTAAGAAAACCCAGAGCCAAGAACAAAAATAAAAAAAAAGAGGAAAGGAAGTAAGTTGGAAAAGAAGCAGAGGCCCTCCTCCACTCCTGACAGTAGGGAAATTTCATTTCACCAACCTAAAGACAGCCCTAGAGGTGATGAACCTAGAACCAACTTAGGCTAGACATCCCAAATCACATTTCAGTCTTCTCTACAAAGGCACTTTGAAATGTTACTGCTTTGAGTGGACTCTACTTACAAGACCCACTGGTGTTACCAGGTCTTGACCGGACATTCAGGATGCAACTGCAAAAACAAAAGAGATACTTTATAAAACGAGGGCTACCGACACCTAAGCAACCAAATAGCAAAATCCCATATAAGTGAGGAAAACAACCAATCAGAATTCCTAAAATGCAAAAGGGTTTTAAAGACTTTAAACCCTTAGGAAATTAGAATTACAACAGCAGAAGTGAACAAAAATTAGAAGCAATGAGCTACTCAGTCTTTACTACTGAATCAAGGACGGAAAGAATGTTAGCTGAGTAACATTAGCTATCAGTGAGAAGTCTGCTTTCTGCCAAGTAATTTATTTCTATTTAAAGTATGAAAGGCTCACGCCTGCAATCCCACCAACTCGGGAGGCTGAGGGGGGAGGATCGCTTGAGCCCAGAATTCAAGGTTCCAATGAGCTATGATGGCGCCACTGTACTGCAGTGTGGGCAACACAGCAAGACCTTGTTTCTAAAAACAAAATAAAAAACAAAGGCATGAAAGTGAGTCTTAGGGTAGGGGCCACAAGGGAAAGGACTTGAGGATGAAGAGATTGCAGCTAAAACTTCAAAAGGCAAAAGGGCAAGGAGGTCCCATTTCAGGGTGTACTTTTTGGAGACAGCCTACAGTTTGGGATTGCTATCTAGGTAAATGGACAAGTACTGAACTCAGTTTCATGGGGAACCAATGAAGGATAGTTTCAAAGCTACAACTGCTCCCTGCAGTGAACCATGATGCTGGGGGGGCCTCTTGCTTCTCTGCCTCATCTGCCAGCGGCCTCGGCACTCACTCTCCACTGCTGTGTGGCAGGCCACTTTACCTCTTGCCATCACTTACCAGACAGCTGTGCGGCACTACCTGAGGTGAAGCCAAGCAGTTCCTGCTCGGAACCCTTCAGCTCACCAGACAGCAGCCGGCTGGACTTCCACTGTCAGCCAGATCCAAACTCCAGCCCAGAGAAGTCACACTGTGGTGAGCATCACTTCACCGTCACTGCCACTCCTCCGATGTGGTGCCTGGCTACATCATAGGTCATCTTGTTATTAGTTATTGTGACACATAGTCCACTGAGGGTATCAAAATGCTGAAGGAGGGGACATAATGGCTATAAGGAATTCCAGGTTCGACATATTAAAAGTTAGAATTAGGCCAAGTGCGGTGGCTCATGCCTGTAATCCCAGCACTTTGGGAGACCGAGGCAGGTGGATCACTTGAGATCAGGAGTTCAACACCAGCCTGACCAACATGATGAAACCCCATCTCTATTAAAAATACAAAAATTAGCCAGGTATGGTGGGGTGTGCCTATGATCCCAGCTACTCTGGAGGCTGAGGCAGAAGAATCACTTGAACCTGGGAGGTTGAGGTTGCAGTGAGCCAAGATGGTGCCACTATACTCTAGCCTGGGCAACAGATCAAGACTCGGTCTCACAAAAAAATAAAAGCAAAAACAAAAAGGAGTAAACACTGATAAGAGATTAGACTAGTAAAACCTGGATGTTAAGGCACAGTTCATAGAGATACCTTGCAGAAGAAACTGACCACTTAGATAATGGGTCAGAAATAAAGAATCCAATGTTTTGAGCCTGGCTGCAATGACAAACAGCCATCATGATTCTACTGAGAACCAGAGTGTCCACAGAGGAAATGTGAAGTTTACTCTTAAATTTCCCAGAGCATTGGGCTTTCCCCCTTAAAGAACAAAAAAAGTCAAGTTTCATTAATTCTCCTACTCACCTGCCCTGTCTCTGTGGAGCTGCTCTGGCCACAGCTAAATCAGACAAAGAAGGCATTAGAAAACATCTGAAGCACGATAAAATCTGGTTGCCTACGTCTTTAACTCCCTAAAACCAAAGTCTGTAAATCAGAACCGATTAAAATTTACATCTCCCATGAAAGGAAATAAAAGTAAGAAAACCCAGAGCCAAGAACAAAAATAAAAAAAAGAGGAAAGGAAGTAAGTTGGAAAAGAAGCAGAGGCCCTCCTCCACTCCTGACAGTAGGGAAATTTCATTTCACCAACCTAAAGACAGCCCTAGAGGTGATGAACCTAGAACCAACTTAGGCTAGACATCCCAAATCACATTTCAGTCTTCTCTACAAAGGCACTTTGAAATGTTACTGCTTTGAGTGGACTCTACTTACAAGACCCACTGGCGCCATCACTGCTTGACTGGACGTTAAGAATGTAACTGCAAAAACAAAAGAGATGCTTTATAAAATGAGGGCTACCGACATCATAAGCAACCAAATAGCAAAATCCCAAATAAGTGAAGAAAACCACCAATCAGAATTCCTGAAATGCAAAAAGGTTTTAAAGACTTTAAACTCGGCCGGGCGCGGTGGCTCAAGCCTGTAATCCCAGCACTTTGGGAGGCCGAGGCGGGTGGATCACGAGGTCAAGAGATCGAGACCATCCTGGTCAACATGGTGAAACCCCGTCTCTACTAAAAATACAAAAAATTAGCTGGGCATGGTGGTGCATGCCTGTAATCCCAGCTACTCAGGAGGCTGAGGCAGGAGAATTGCCTGAACCCAGGAGGCGGAGGTTGCAGTGAGCCGAGATTGCGCCATTGTACTCCAGCCTGGGTAACATGAGTGAAACTCCGTCTCAAAAAAAAAAAAAAAAAGACTTTAAACTCTTAGGAAATTAGAATCACAACAGCAGCCGGCTGGACTTCCACTGTCAGCCACATCCAAACTCCAGCCCAGGCGTGGTGACACATAGTCCACAGAGGATATCAAAATGCTAAAGGAGGGGGACATAACAGCTATAAGGAATTCCAGGCTCTACATATTAAAAGTTAGACTTAGGTCAGGTGTGGTGGCTCACACCTGTAATCCCAGCACTTTGGGAGACCGAGGTGGTGGATCACTTGAGGTCAGGAGCTCAAGACCAGCCTGACCAACAAGGTGAAACCCCATCTCTACTAAAAATACAAAAATTAGCCAGGCGTGGTGGTGTGAGCCTATAATCCCAGCTACTCTGGAAGCTGAAGCAGGAGCATCACTTGAATCCAGGAGGCAGAGGTTGCAGTGAGCCAAGATGGTGCCACTGCACTCCAGCCTAGGCCACAAAGCAAGACTGCATCTCAAAAAAAAGAAAAAAAATAGTTAACCACTTCTTTAGGGCTTTTTATTTGGCCTAGAGGCTGATATTGCACTGCCTGTATACTTTTCTAATCTTTCAAAATATATGATGGCTCAACTCCTTGATTAAAATTCCTATGCATTTCTCAACCACTGTACATTGGACTTGTTCAGCAGTAGACTTCAAGTTTTTTTCTTTAATCAGGAAAGAAAACTGTTGCTGGGTATACGATTTCCCAGGTATAGGTCATTATGTGATGTTGGTTGTTAGTAAACAGCACTACATTTTACATAAACCAAAAACTGACTCAGACTTCATCCATCTTCTTACATACTTTTGTGTTACAGACACACCTGTTTTTTGAGAGATCAGTCCAAAGGAACAAAGGATCAGAAACATGATGCAAAAAGTTACATGACAGAGAGCCCCACCCAAATCCCTAAGCGAAAATATCAAATTCCAGGTGAGATAGTAACCAACAGGTAAAGTAGTCCAAGGAAAGAATACTAAGGAAGGAATACATGGTCAGAAAGAAGGCAGATTTTGTTTGGTATCTTTTCCAATAAAATTCACTACCAGGGGTACAAGTCCCTAGAATGTATTTCAAGGCTCATGTTACTATTATTAGAAAATATACACAGGCAGCTGAATGCAGTGGCTCATGCCTGTAATCAGCACTTTGCGAAACTGAGGCAGGAGGATCACTTGAGCCCAAAAGTTAAGTACCAGCCTGGGCAACACTGTGAAACTGTACTTACAAAAAAAAAAAAAAAATCAAAAATGAGGCTGGAGAATTGCTTCAGCCTGAGAGGTGGAGGCTGCAGAGAGCCATGATAGCACCATTACCATTGCAGTCACACCTGAATGATGGAAGTGAGACCCTGTATCAAGAAAAAAATAAAATAAAGAAGAAAGAAAGAAAATATTTGCAGACTAGCTGACACGTTAAGAACAGGAGAAAAAAAGAAAACAGGAGGCTGGGTGCACTGGCTCATGCCTGTAATCCCAGCACTTTGGGAAGCCGAGGTGAACAATCACCTGAGATCAGGAGTTTGAGACCAGCCGGGCCAACATAGTGAAATCCCATCTCTACTAAAAAATACAAAAATTAGCTGGATGTGATAGAATGTGCCTGTAGTCCGAATTATTTAGGATGTTGAGGCAGGAAAATCGCTTGAACCCCAGAGGTGGAGGTTGCAGTGAGCCAAGATCTCACCACTGCACTCCAACCTGGGTGACAGAGCGAGACTCTGTCTCAAAAAAAAAAAAAAGGAAATATATGCAGGCCAGGTATGCTGTAGTCCCAGCTACACAGACGGTAGGAGGATTGAATCAGCCCAGCAGTTGGAGGCCTCAGTGCACCATGATCACACCTATGAACAGCCACTGCACTCTGGCCTAGGAAATACAGCAAGACCCACCCCCATGTCATTAAAAAAAAAAAAAAATTAATATATGCATTGAAGGAAGAAGAGCCGAACTCTATCATGAAAGGACTAAGAAATAACATTGGAAGGCTTTAAAGATACATTAAAAAAAAAAAAAAACCTCAAAAATTATAAAAAGCTGGAAACAGTAGCTCACGCCTGTAATCCCAACACTTTGGGAGCTTGAGGCTGGAGGATCACTTGAGAGCAGAAGTTCAAGACTAGCACGGGCACGACAGCGAGACTCTGTCTTTACAAAAAATATTTTTAAATTAGGTGGATGTGGGATCCTCCCAGATACTCAGGAGGATCCCTTGAGCCCAGGAATTCGAGGCTGCAGTGAGCTATGATGGCATCACTGCAGTCTAGCCTGGCTGACAAAGAAAAAAATAATTTTTTTAAGTTACAAAAGATCCAAAGAAAATCTCTCCTTTATTTTTTTTATTTGAGACACAGTCTTGCTCTGTCACCCAGGCTGGAGTGCAGTGGCATGATCTCGGCTCACTCCAACCTCCACCTCCTGGGTTCTAGTGATTCTCCTGCCTCAGCCCCCGGAGTAGCTGGGATTACAGTCACACACCACCATGTCTGGTTCATTTTTGTATTTTTAGTAGAGACGGGGTTTCACCATGTTGGCCAGGCTGGTCTCAAACTCCTGACCTCAGATGATCCATCTGTCTCAGCCTCCCAAAGTGCTGAGATTACAGGCGTGAGCCATGGTGACTGGCCAGATATTTTCTCTAAAACTAAGGCCTTAAATCATAAAGATTATATATGCTTTTATATGACTACAGAAAAATCTCTAGAAAAAAACACTGCCAAATTATTCATAATTATTACCTCAGAAGAATGGGAGGATACATGCACATGAAGGCAGGCTTTCACTTTTTACTTTATGTGCTTCTGTACTGTTTATTTTCACCACAGACCTGTATTCCCTTAGTAATTTTTACAACTCAACAAATATTTTACAATGTGATGAGAATATCCGTTATCTGTGGGTCATTCACTCACTTGACATTTATCGAGCATCTACTATATGCTTGGTACCGGGGCTACAAAAAAAAAAAAAAAAAAAAAAAAAAATGACTTCCAGGGATCTCACAATCTAGTGGCAAAGAAAAAAAAAAAAAAAAAAAAGAACATTTTCATGAGCCTTACTACTCTAGAACAACAGGAATCAGAAACTGCATTTTTGGCCAGGCGCAGTGGTTAACGCCTGTAATCCCAGCACTTTGGGAAACCAAGGTGGGTGAATCCCTTGAGCTCAGGAGCTCTAGACTAGTCTGGCCAACATGGCGAAACCCCATCTCCACTAAAAATACAAAAATTTTAATAGCTGGGTGTGGTGGCACAGACCTGTAATCGCAGCTACTGGGGAGGCTGAGGCACAAGAATCACTTGAACCCAGGAGATAGCGGTTGCAGTGAGCCGGGATTGTGCCACTGCACTCCAGCCTGGGCGACAGAGCAAGGCTGTTTCCAAAAAAAAAAAAAAAAAAAACAACACACAAGAAACTGCATTTTTAACAAGCACCGCCAGGCAATTCTGATCCAGGAAACTTGCAGACCACACTTTCAGGAATACCATTTAACTGTGACAGCCTTCTTTTCCTTTAAATCAGGAATTGAAAATATCAACAGAATGCTAATTAAGTAAATTTAGTATTGTCGAGAAATTTAAAACAATAGCCAACCTACACTAGGTGACCCATTTGCTTTTCTGATTAAATTCAGCCTAACAGGATAATTTTTAAAATACAGTATTTCTGCATATCATCAAGGCTATCTTGTAATAGTATTGACAAAACAATATTGCTTGGGCTAAAAAGCACTGGACAGTGGGCTTCAGAGAGTACTAATTAGGCTTATCAATGAAAACCAGATCCCCACCTCTTGCATTATGCATTTCAGTACAACTTCTGCCTCTGAAGTGCCAATCCCTCCTTCCCCCAATCCTTCACTGTGTTAATGATCTTGTCTCATAAAACACTAGGATAATAGAAGCAATCAGCTAGGAACTCACTCATCCTCCCAACAACAAATCTCTTGACCTAAACATACCAGACTCTCTGCCTTCTCTATTACTGACAGCAGAACACAGTGTCCCTGCCATTACCAAAGGCCAATCCCTCCCTTATACTTTGGACCTCATCTCCTCTAGCCTTCTCAAGGATTTTATTCCTGTAGTTCCAGCACTCTGTACAGCATCATTCTCCCCTCTCTCCTGAACCATTCATGCTACTAGCCCTAGACTCCATGTCCTGAATTTTATATTAACAGCCTTGAGCTCTTCGCTGAACTCCAACTGACTACTTGACAAGTTGGATATTTTTTAAGTCTTTAAAAGGTAACATGGGCCGGGCGCAGTGGTTCACACCTGTAATCCCAGCATTTTGGGAGGCCAAGGCAGGCGGATCACCTGAGGTCAGGAGTTCCAGACTAACCTGGCCAACATGGTGAAACCCCGTCTCTACTAAAAATACAAAAATTAGCCCTTCACTCTTCTGCCATGTAAGGACACATTCATCTTTTCTTGCCCTCTGCCTTCTACTCCATGAGGATGCAATAACAAGGCCCACACAAGGTGCCGGCACCTTCATCTTGGATTTTTCAGCCTTCATAACTTATATGTACTCACTGGGAGAACTGATTTTCCTCTTGCCCCAGTGATA